GAGACTTTTGCCCTTAATGTCACTTTAAGAATGTTCTGGGAAGTCATGAAAAGCGGGAACCTAGGTAGTTTTCTATTTGCTATTGTTCATTACGACACTAGAAGGTCTACAAGGCAACATTATTATTTATAAGGTGATTTATAATAGGTGATAATATAGTTATTTGTTTGGTGCACACCAGAGTCTAAAGAGGTCCCCCCTCTCCTATGCCTGCATCATTTTATTGCAGCATACACCAATGCAGTGTGTTGCTGTGAACAGGGCTTTTTGTCTTGTCTTTGCAATGCTGCCCAACACAACCCAGGTGGGAATCAGCTCTCAAACCTTCCCTAATCTTAACAAAACTTTAAAAAAAATGTTTGTATAGAATTTGGAAGTGTCTGCTGTTGCAGTAGGCTTTCTGTAAGTGGCTGAGCCAATGTTATAAATTCTAGTAGAAGTAATATTAGCATAGCAGGAGAGGGCAGAGAACTTGCATGTTCATAATCCTGATTCAGTCTACAAAAAGCATATTTTTAGTTTTTCTACAGAATTGATAAAATAATGTTTATAGTCAGGATTGACAAAGCCAGACCAGTCTCTTCTGTCACCATTCAGTCTGGAACGCAGAGGCAGCCTCTGTGTGGTTGGACAGTTTAGCTGGCAGAGGAACAGTGGTGCAAAGAAGTTCTAGTTATCAGTAGATATGACCGTGGCATTCAGTCAACCTCATTGAATCCCAGCCAAAATGACATTTTTAATTTTGTATAAAGAAAGTGTTTAGCAGTGCCAAGAATGAGCTATGCAGTGCTAGTATATCATCATTTGGTTTTGTACACAAGGCAGCAGGTGCATCTCTTCAACCAAATTTACATTAATGTACTGCAGATTGATTCCCCCGGCTAGTCATTCCAACAATGCTCAGCTGTTTCCGGAAGAAGCATGGGGTAGTTGTCATTTTGTACAGCTATACTGCTTACCTTCTGGCTTTAATTAGAAGACCACTAAACCTAAAGGTTATGTCAAAGAACAGGTAATGTGATTTACCATAATGGGGCTGATTTACTAAAGGAATAGATATTGTTCAATTCTCAAAGCGAATCTTCATTTGATTAATGAATGAGGTAACGCTAAGTGAAGACTCCCATCCCATGATACCCCATCATCTGCATGAAAATATCAGGGAAAAAAGGTTTTTGATCGCACGTGATTGACATCAGAACAGCTTCAACATATTCAATGAGCCAAGTAAAAAATTCACTTTGCAAACTGAACGTGCACTTTCCTATTAATAAACCCCCCTGTATGCAAAAGTACTCATCTGCACTTTACTGAGAGTAAACTACAAGTCCCATCTAACAGCAGGTAGCACAAGGTGCCTCCTACAACCTTTATTAGGCTGAAAACTCTTTTTGCACCTGGGAGACCTATTTTCACTAGGTCACCAGGAGATTATTATTATTTCCACTAGGTCCCTTCCCCTAGCGATTACCCCAAATTATCCCTTCACCTGGAGATTATCCAAAACTTCCCCCCCTCCTGGAGATTATCCAAAACTACCCCTCCGCCTGGAGATTATCCAAAACTTCCCCCCCTCCTGGAGATTATCCAAAACTTCCCCCACCTGGAGAGTATCCAAAACTACCCCTCCGCCTGGAGATTATCCAAAACTTCCCCCCCTCCTGGAGATTATCCAAAACT